GTAAACCCCCCCCCCCCCCCCACCCGGTCCCGATCCCAACTCATCCTCCTAACCACGTCAATTGCGGGGTTCAAGTTTAGTTGACTTTAGAGTCAAAAGTTTTGACTTTAAAGTCAATTATACTTACCGGGTACAATTGACGTATGTGGGGGGATGATTTGGGGTCGGGACTTGGCAGGGTGGTTTATCGGGGCGGTTAGGGGGTAGGAATCATCAATTTTATGAACGAAGGTCCGTAGGGGGCAGTGGCTTCCTTGGCCACTGAAATCCAGTGGCCACCGAACCGAGCCGATCAACCGGCATAATAGTTGTAATAATAATAATAATCACATTAAAAATATATCGTTTTTAGAGTAATTGGTTAGGAAGTAGAAAGAGTTTGAAGAAAATGAAAATAGCTGGAAGAAACTAGAAGAAACTGGAAGAACTAAAAGAAACTGGAAGTTAAGAGTTTAAGCCCTAAAGAACAGGCTCTTAGACCTGACAAAATAGAATCGAAATCGAATGATTCGAAATGGAAAATCGAAATAATTCAAAAAGTCAAATTCAAAATCGATTAGATCCATTTGATTAAATTTGAAATCGATTAGATTCAAAATAGATTAAATTCGACGCTTATAAGACATGAAACCAATAAGATCCAAAACCAATAAGACATGAAACTGATAAGATTTAAAACCGATTATATTCGAAACTGATTATACCTTACAATAAACATAATATTCATGTCATTAGTGAACAATTACTTCACCCCCATCCCCTCAATATTGTGTGGTTGGCCAAACATGATATTTTCATTGTATTTAATTTTACTCAAATTTTACCTAATGACATTCAATCTCACTCAATTCCAACATATTTTAATTAAATTGTATATAATTTCATAACATTTCACTCAATATTTACCTAATCGCATTCAATCTTTTTCATTGCAATAATTTTTAGAACTGGAATTTAATGAATACCAAATATTTCGCCCAATTCCCCTAAATTTTTACCCAATTGCATTCTATTTTATTGCGTATATAAAGATAAAGATAAGAGATGTTATAAAATTTTAATGTATCAAAACTACATGAATATCAATTCAATTATATTAATTTTGTATCATAACTAAATATGCCTTTCTTTCATAATTCGTAATCCAAATTTGTAAAATATGACTAAAAATGTAAAACTGGAAGATATTTAGGACGGATGGACTATACTTAGAAAAAATATAGAGTAATATATATGAGATGATGTGTAACACCTCAACTCGTGTAATCCGAATACAGAGACTAGCGGACTAGGAACCTACTAGATTGGCATCCAAACGCAATAATTTTCAAAAGAATTTAAAAATATATAATTCAAAATATTATTCAAAACATTCATCAGAGTAAATAAAACGGTGCATAAGCTTTAATTTAAGTACTTAATTAAAACACAGTTTTGGGGTTTAGCCCGAATAACATAGTAAATTCAAACTGAAATATTAAATAAATTAACTTGTCGGCCTTTCATCCACCCCATCTCCTTATCCTCCTTATCCTCGGTGTCTTCTAGGATTATTTCCTTACACATCACTCATGTTACCTACGTGTATCAAGTAAAACAAATTACACGCTCAGCTTTCATGCTGAGTAAGAGGTTCTAACAGTAGAAGTCACACATAGGATAAATTCAACATAAAGCATTTCATACACAAGTAGTATCACATAACAACATCAAGTAACTGCATACATCATGCCACCAACAAAGTTCTTCATTATTAATCTCTTATAACCCTATACTAGGCTTAGGCCAACTTATCATTATTCACAATATTCAACATAAATAATCATTCATAGCATTTAATGCATTAGTAATATCACATAACAACATCAAGTAATTGCGTACATCATGTCATCAACAAAGTTCTTCATTGTCAATAGCTTATAAATTATACTAGGCGTAGGCCAACTCATCATTATTCTTTTCTTAGAAATTAGAGCCACTACTTACGCCCGTGACTTTAGTCTAGTCTATGACTCAGAACCACTACCTACAACCACGATTTTGGTCAATCCGGTACCTACAACGCCGGTTGGGTGGAACCTCTAATCCTATAGATCATATCACAGATTCCATGTACGTACATCTTTACCCAAATGGCACTGGATACTAAGTCTACAAAGCTCTACAACTTATTGACAGCTTACCTATACAATGTTAATAAGAGTAGGGTATTCCTACAGTAACCCCTAAGTAACCCATGTCATTAAATTACTTTTCATATTCGAGCCCATAGTTACAACGACCTCAGTTCCCTATACTCGTCCAAGGCATATTATATTAAGCATATAACAAGTGAGATATAATAATCAAATAATCGTTATATAATACAAAAAGCAATCTAGTGTTGGGTGTAGACACCTTCCACTAACCGTCATGCAACACAAAAGGGCTCAAAAACCAATCCACGATTTGGATCGGAATAAACATGCAAGCAAAAAGTCGGAACGGGTCTGGTACAAAACCTCGATACCACCTCATGGTACCTTCTTACTATCTGTATTACGATGGTAGTCAGATTTATGCCTGTGATGGTAGTTAACTACCACCGGTCGGTAGTTCTCTACTGTCGGGCCGTAAACACAGAGCCTCGGGTTCTCAATTTTGACAATTGTAATTATTTAATATTCTTGGATACCCAAGCACACAAAAAACAACTATTCGCATAGTAAAATGCACCCGGTATCCTCCTCCTTGATCAACCAATTGTAATAGATCATAATTAACAACCACAAACGAATTCCACATAATTCAAACCTATGATTGGCTATATATATATATATATATATATATATATATATATATATATATATATATATATATATATATATATATATATATATATATATATATATATATATATATATAA